TCTATCTATCTATCTATCTATCTATCTATCTATCTATCTATCTATCTATCTATCTGCAGTTTATGTATACTACATACGGTCATATGAGCACGTGTTTGTTCTACATTTCAAGTCATATAAGACTATTTGATTTAATGAATAAATGTACAGAAAATATACAATCAAAACATTTTCAAATAGTTATATATAAACGTATGTTTTCTCACGTGTCTTTATTCTTGTTTTGCTAACACACACCTCGGCTAACGTGATCACAATCTGGGACACCAACAGAGAATGTCATACCCAGGTTTTGCGGCATCGCCTAAGCGTTACGGGTTTTTAAAAAATGAATAATTATAATTTAAAAAATACTAAATAAATAATAAATAACGTCTTGTATAGTTCATACCCCCGCTCAACAACAAGCCCTATGCGATTTACACTATATTATTACCCCAGCAGACCATAGAGCACTCAGAAACATTCTCAGCTTCCCGGGAAGCATACAGTGCAAGCAGCTGATTAAGCTCTCAAACACAAACAAAAACCGGACAACATTCTGTTCTGTTTCCCAACCATCATACAAGCTGCACTCGGACAAGTTTGTTAATTTATGCCATCCTATTTTGGACTACATAATCATTATGCAGTTTTAACAGTTTTTAGGAGAGCCAAAAAAAAACAACCTGAATGAGGTTACCAGGTAAATAAACTCTGCAAACATCGCAAGTCAATATTCTTCAGAATACTTTACTTCCTTTTTTCTTCCGCTTGTACCGGTGGGTGTCGCGGGGAGACACAGGCGTCTGTCTGCAGCAAGGCGAGTGGCCTGTAGGAGGGACATCCCGTGAGCTCTGAATAATACAACTTTGATAAGAACTTCCTTATTTTCTTTAAAGCAAATGTTGCTTTCTGGGTGACAACATTCCGATTTTTTTGGGGGAGCTCTCCTGGAAAATTGTATTTCAAAAAATGCTAATAAGGTAATTTTGAAAATGAGGGCAGATTTAAACCCTGCACTTTCCAGTAACGCATACAATATTATTCGAAATCGATGTGTTGGTGAGCTAGGCTTGAAATCCCTTCTCTCCATGTGCCAGATCAGCGACAGACATCGGGGGTCGAAGTTCGTCATTCATTCTTAGATCCTTTGCTCGGATACTCGCAAGCTATATTACTATTATTATTTTATTATTATTTTATTATCATCATCATCATCATCATCATCATCATCATCATCATTATCATTTTTATTATTATTATTATTATAAATAATAATAATATTAATATTATTGTTATTATTATTATTATCACTATCATATTAGTATTAGTATTATTAGTATTAGTATTATTTTTATTATTATCACTGTGCCCACCATTTCGGAACTTCATGGTGACTGCAAAGATGGTTCCAGTAGGGAACAGGATAGAGGGTGCCCACGTCCCTCGTGACTCATTGGAGCAGAAGAAGAAAGGACTAACGCTAACATTAGTTAAACGCAATCCCATATCATCACTCATCACCACCGCTCTCAGATCAATGACCTACTTCTATGATCCTGGAATCTCCATCTGTTGTAACAATTGCTTGTTATACATGTAAGTATGCACGTAATACACTATTGGACACTATCATGTTCACTTTTTTTTTCCTAATCAGATGGCCTCAATCTCATATAAATAGGCAAGGGATACACTAAAAAATCATTATCATTTCCTCCCCCTCATCCCTCCTCTCCACCCTCCTCTCCACCCCCCTCCCATCCCTCTCCCCACATCCCTCCTCTCCACCCTCCTCCCATAACTCTACCCTCCCACCTCCTCATCCCTCCTCTCCATCCTCCTCCCCTCCCACCCCCTCATCCCTCCTCTCCCATCATCCCCCCTCTTCACCCTCCTCCCATCCCTCCCCCCTCATCATTCCTCTCCACCCTACTCCCATCCCTCTCCCCTCCCACCCCCTCACCCCTTCTCTACCCTCCCTCTCCCCTCATCCCTCCTCTCCTCCCTCATCCCATCCCTCTCCCCTCCCCCCCTC